TGTGAACAACAGGGTTTGCTTAGCTGACCACTGTGGGTTAAGGTTTAATTCCCTTACAATATTAACAATCCACTAAGAAATTCTCAAACTGAACGTTTTTCCAGGAGGATGTTCCCTTACCTCCGTCTGCAAGTTAACGGCCTCAACCCCAACGCTCGCTACTTCCTTGTGCTGGAGCTCGCCCCCGCTAGTGAGTTCCGCTACAAGTTCAGCAGCGGGGGCAGTTGGATGACGGTGGGGACTGCCGAGCCCCAGATGCCGTCCAGTGCTAGGGTCTATATACACCCTGACTCCCCCGCCACAGCGGCACACTGGAGCGGACAACAGGTGTTGTTCAACAGGGTCAAACTCACCAACAACAACCTCGACCGTTCCGGCAATGTAAGTTGATTCAGTGGACAGTGACTGTAATATTTGGTGTGTTGTTTTTTCATTGTGACAACAACGTGAAAACAACAATGTTGGGTATTTTTAAAGAGTCTTCTTCACCCCTGCAAAAAACACTAAAAACATGCCTCGGAAGTTCTTTTTTTCTGATGGAATTGGTAAAGATCTGATGTTACAATTCAACTACAGTAGACTCCCTCTTATCCTCGGGACCGAGGCTAGTCCGGATAACGATTTTTCGGTTAAACCGATGTTCCCAAAAACTCATTAACTACCGTACTGATTTTGATTTGACTTGACTTAACCAATAACCTCATTTTAAAGTAATCTAGCAAATCACAATTCACAATCAATTATGAATTTTGATTTGAAGGAGAAAATATGTTACATACATGCTTAGGTAATTAACAAAACGTTAACCTTATAACGTTATAACATGATTGTTTCACAGACAAATATTTGTTTTGTTTACTAATGTGCTTTTTTCCCCAGATTGTTCTCAACTCCATGCACAAGTACGTTCCCACTGTACACGTGATCATGGCCACAGACGTGCTCGCTCTTCACTGGAGTCCACGAGCCACATTTGTGTTTCCTACGACTGAGTTCATGGCAGTCACTGCCTACCAGGTGAGCAGATATTTTTTGACTTTGTTGATATCGTCTTGGGATTTGAGTATGTCTCGGATTATTGTTCCAACAAATGCTTGAAAATTGTATGCGATTGAACATGTAGATGAAATTCTAAAACTGTAATTTTTTACAAAAATACTTGTGTGGTCTAATAGAACACATGATAACTACCTTTTGCATTAAAAAGTTTTGTTTGGATTGTAAAAAAAAGCAAGGAGCTCAACAAATAGAATTTGAAAGTTAATGGTAAACATTTGTGACCCAATTTAAAGCAATTTTCATCTTTCCTTAGTCTCAAAGTTATAGAGAATTTTGAATTTTTGTACTCTCAATTCTCTTGTACTCTCTCTCTTTGAGTTTTGTCACTCTTAATTCTGTAAATTTCATATAATATACCGTTTTACATTTACACTGTATTTAATCCATGTATTATTTTCCAGAATGAAAAGGTAACGAAATTGAAGATCGACAATAATCCGTTTGCCAAAGGCTTCAGAGAAGGAGGGGACGGAGTCTTCCGATCAAAGAAGCGCAAAGCTGAACAACAAGCCAAAGAGGATGAAAGTACGTAATTGCAATTAACACAGGAAATAGCTGTTTTTAAAATTGCAGCATTGCTAGCTACAGTCTCCTTCAAAGATTGTTTACGTATTTCACATGCCAAAAAAATTGTAGGAATATTAGGCTTCATTAAAAGATAATGAGTTTGATTCCTGATCAAACCTCATATTTATAAATGATTTTCTTGAAACATCATCATTACGATTCTGTGTCTTTAGTTGAGAGTCGGCAGGACTGCCACTGCCGGCCATCTTGGATTTTCTGCCCATAATGGCAATGATAATGGTTGAAGCATATTACGGCATTGTTTATTAAGATAAAAAGTTGCAAAATATCTAATTTTAAAGCTATTGAAACCGCGAATGTGATTTGCTATCTACATTGCAATTTTATTTTTTTGTACTGATAACTCACTACTTCTCGACACTAATCAAAATATACTAAACAATATTTTCAAATCAGCTGGTATTATTGGATTTGGCAACACCGCGCTGTCCTCATTGGCTCCTTCGAATTCACGTGGTAAATAGACTCCTCCCTCAACTGCAGACTCTCGTTGAACGTACTCTAATACTGGACCTGTAACCTTTTCACGACTTCCTATAGGTATCATAAGATATTTGTATAAGATTTTAAATTAACAATCTATCCATTTTCAGGACTCAAGAAAACTTGTGCTAAGCAAGAGTTGGAGAGGTCCACAGATGACAGTGGTGTCTCGTCCATGGGTTCCCCCACCCCTCCCACCACTACGACTCCCGTCACTTCACAACTTGACAGATACTCGCCTCAGCTGCCGCCGAGGTTCATGATACCCGACATGCCTCCTTACTTTCATCCGTCTCTCTGGCACTACCCATATTTTCTCCCACCTCCACCCCCTCTATTTCACTCCCCCTACTACGCACACCTTCTTCCCCCCCTCACTCCAAACATCGAGCCTTACGAGTCTTTCCTGATGGATCTGAGATTCAAGAAGGAAACTATCACAATCACAAACCAGTAAAGTGTATTTGTTTTTTTCATTTGTTACCAAAGAAGTTGTTTTTGTTAATTTTTCATGTATATAATTTATTTAGTATTTTGTTACAAAGGAGAAATTTAGTTCCTCGCAATAGAATAAGTTATTAGTAATTTATACTAAGGTTATTTAGTTCCTCTTTTTGACGTGTGTGTAATATGTAAAAAATCAATTTTGTTACTAAGGTTATTTATATCACGTTGTAAGTGATTTGTATAGATGTTGATATTCGAGTGTACAGTTTTGTAATATTTGTTTTGTTTTTTAGAATTAGAGGAGAAGTTTTTGTTACTAACGAGTTTTATTGCTCCTTCCTTTTTGTGCTAATTTATATATACACCTAGATCAAAAGGTCTACAGTAGACCCCATCATATCCAGACTCCTCGGGACCGAGGGCCAGTCTGGATAACGGGTTTTCCGGTTAAACCGACATCCCCAAAAACTTGTTATGTAACACAAATATTTGACTTTAATTTAGGAGAGCATTGTATTTAGACACGTGATCACTGGTCTCAAATATTTCCCACGAGAACAGTCGTTTCAGTACCGCCCACTTCCTGCCGATCTAGTCCGGTTAAACCGATGTGCTGATAAAAATTGTCCGGTTAAAGAGATGTCATTTCCGCCGAGTGTAGTCCGGTTAAACCGATTCCCGGTTAAAAGGTGTCCGGATAAGAGGGAGTCTACTGACGGTTATCAGTGTTGCAATGGAGCGGTAAAGGCATTTCCCATTATGCTTATTCCAACAACCCTGTATTTAATATAATCCTAGGATGATTAATATTTTTTTTGAAGTTCATTGTTGGTAATGGTGAGTTAAAGTTGTTCAAAGGTTTATTGCGGATCCCGTCCTCAGGTGAAAAAACTTAACTAACACATTACAACTAACAATACACAAACGCCCAATCTAAGTTGGAATACACTACAGAAGGTAGCAGTCAAAAATATGCACTGTATAGCAGTCATGATACAACATGCAAATAATAACCAATCACAAAACACTATAATCTATAAAAGGTGTAACGTAAAAAGCTCACACAATGGAACACTAATAGCACCGTTCGCAATGACTCCACCAATGAGACTGATGCAACATGGCCGACCAATCGGAAACACGGAGACAACAGAAATGGCTTCCGGTCCCTGGAAAAGTAAAACCAACAAAATGGCGGAGCGATGTACGATGCCGCAAGATGGGTGTTAATTCTGTTTATTCCTATCACGAGTTTTACTACGAGTTAACATAACGTGCAAATTTTAAGGAGAACTCGTTATTTCCCTATTTATTGAACAATTAAGTTCCCTATCCTTTAGTTCCTTGTTCAAAATGGGTAGCCAAAGTGGCCTGATTTCAACCGATGACTGATTGGTTGGTCTGCTAATTTAATGTATGAGGCTTCAATGAGTTTACGTTTGAAAAAATGAGGTTCCTTATGGACAATTTTTGCCTGTTGAAAATTCATACGATGATTTTCGGACCAGCAATGATGAGCGATCTTAGATTGATAGAAATATTGGTGAAACATTGATAGAAATACTCAAATTCCACAGTGTGATGATGCAAAAAACCAAGTTGTGAATCTGTCTTCTAAAGTTCTATACCCCGTTGAGATTTCTGTTTTGAGCAGAGGGCTAAATTTTTCCGTTGTGCCTAAATCAATTAAAACGCTGGATTTTGTGACAGGGAATGAGTCTGCTGTTTCTCAGTTACCTGAGTCTCAGGGGGATCAGTTTCGATGTGAAGCTAGTATTTTACTAAAGAAAATTCCCACTCCTAAACCTAATCTTAGTAAAGAGGAAACCAAAGCAGTATCAGTCCTTGGGAAAGACGGTACTGTTAAGATTTTGCTCGCGGATAAAGGGAATGCCACGGTAGTTCTTGATACTGTGACATTCGAAGAAAAAATGTTAGAAACTTTGCAAGCTGGTAAATAGACCCAATTGAAAAAAGACCCCACAGAAACTTTCGAGCGTAAAATCGCTAGTACTCTAAGAAAACACAAAAAGTTTTTTAGCGACAAACAAAGGACTCGGTTAACACCACACCATTCCAAAATTCCACACATGTACGGGTTACCTTAAGATCCATAAACGTAACGTTCCACTGAGACCGATAGTTAGCTACCGTGATTCTGCTTGTAGGGAATTGTCTTAAGTCCTTCTGGACATTTTAAAGCCGTTAGTAGGAAACACTGATTCGTTTATCAAAAACTCTAAAAGATTTTGTAGAAAAGTCTAAATCTATCGTACTGGCTGATACTGACAAGCTGGTCAGCTTCGATGTTGAAAGTCTGTTTACGAATGTCCCCGTTTCGGAAACCCTAAAAATAATTGAGACTCGTCTCACAAACGACGATACTTTAGCAAACAGAACTAAACTCCCCTGTTAACGTCATAATGGAACTTTTGGACTTGTGTCCTCAGTGTAACTATTTCCAATTAGAGGGTAAATTATACCGTCAAGATGAGGGTATGGCTATGGGGTCACCATTGTCACCTATCTTTGCCAACATCTTTATGGAGGAGTTGGAGCAAAAAGCTTTGGCTTCAGCTCGTCTCAAACCGAAGATATGGTGGAAATATGTCGATGACACTTTCGTGGTTTTCCCTCATGGAGATGATAAATTGAATGAGTTTTTAGAGCACCTTAATAGCGTTTCATCTTCCATAAAACTAACCATGGAGGTGGAATCGCAAAACAAACTCCCCTTTTTGGATGTGTGGGTGGAAAAGCATTTGAACAGTCTTAGAACATCTGTTTATAGAAAGAAGACACACACAGGGCAGTATTTAAACTTTCAATCAAACCACCAAATTTCTGTCAAGGAGGGGGTTGCTTACTCTCTGTTTGACAGGGCTAAGAGCATTTGCTCCAATCAGGATGAGTTAAAGGATGAAATAAAGAAAGTAGAACAGGATTTGGCTAGTAACGGATACCCTCGATCCATTATAAACGAATGCAAGAAAGATAGGGCTACGCGTGAACCTTTACAAAATCGCAAGGAAAAGCTCGTCCACATGTCAATCCCGTATGTGTCAGGGCTGTCGGAAAAAATCAGAAGGGTTGCTAGGAAATTTAATGTGCAAACAGCGTTTAGGACAAAAAACACACTTAGGCAGAGTCTCGCTAAAACAAAACCCAAAAATTACACTCAGGATACTAAAAACTGTGTTTACAGAATAAATTGCAATAATTGTTCCAGGCCTTACTATGGCGAGACAAAAAGACCATTGAACGTTAGAATCAAAAAACACAGAGAAAACACTAAAAAAGGTTTAGTGGAAATATCTAAGATCGCTCATCATTGCTGGTCCAAAAATCATCGTATGAATTTTGAAGAGGCAAAAATTGTCCATAAGGAACCTCATTTTTTCAAACGTAAACTCATTGAAGCCTCATACATTAAATTAGCAGACCAACCAATCAGTCAGTCATCGGTTCAAATCAGGCCACTTTGGCTACCCATTTTGAACAAGGAACTAAAGGATAGGGAACTTAATTGTTCAATAAATAGGAAAATAACAGTTTTTTGAAATTGAAAACATTCAAATTCATTTATTAAGTATGTATCCATTTTGTATTACAGTTTTATTAGGTTTTGACGTTTGGTTTACATTCTACGAATTTTCAAAGTTATGAGATAGTTTTTAAATCCCTAGAGAAGACTAAATCTCTAGGAATGACCATCAATTACATTTCGACTGTCATACTAATTATTGTTTTTGTATGATTTATTTTTATACAATTTTATATAATACTAGCAGAGTACTCGTCCTTCGTACGGGGTTGGCATATAAGTTTAAAATGCTTATTGCAGTTATGCGTTTGTAATGGGGGAGGAGAAAGTTTGATAAAATTTGCTTCTTTAAATTGACGGTATACTATGATATTACACATCTACTATAGCCATAATGTTCTACCACTTCACCTAAAAAGTAAGAAAAATAAATTATTAAAAATTCTCAAAAAATCACAAATTATTCATGACATTAAAAACATAAACATAACTGTAAACAATCCTACTTTGACAGTTCTCATTACATAAATGCAAAAAAATTTAGTGCTGCACCCTGTTGGTAAATCTTATAACTTTAATGCTTTTGAATATCATAGAACCAACTTCGTTAGTTGAAACAGCTGACTAAATTCTTTAATTCCCTTTAAATATGAATACTCATAAGGTTAACATGGGGAACTACAGAGCCACTGGGGCGGAGCCCGAAAGTATTCTTGAGATAAGAATATGCCTATATGTTAATCGGGAATGTGAGCTATCATGATGCCAAATTTCAGCCCAATCCGTCCAGTGGTTTATGCGTGATTGAACTTCAAACAAACAAACAAACACACAAACTTTCACATTTATAATATTAGTAAGATAAGATAATAAGCTAAGCCGATTTATATATATTATATATAATACCGCATGACCATATGAAATAATAATACTCGTTTTACTCACCATAAAATGAAGTCAGCACCTCAAAAGCCAGTTGCAAACACAGGTTGTTATTTACATAGGTTTTGTATTTACATTTTTTATTTACATCGCCCGCACCTCAAACTCTTTCAAAAGAAGTTTTACTTTTTGAAATGTTGTAAACTATTGTTACACAAAGTTTCCAAAATATAAATTATAAAATAGAGCGAACTATAAAATTACAGGAGAAAAAGGCAATAAAAACAATGTTAGTACTGTTCATGTCTTCTTCTTTGCTTCCACATAGTACACTGGGTTTCTGATTTCCATTGATCTGGTGTGCCGCGGGTCGATGAGTTCTGGAAGTAGACAATCAATATAAAACCTTTTGAGAGGTTCTAACATTTTTTCTTGCCAAAATTTGTCATCTCGTTCTATCACTTCAACTCGTGCTCCTAAAGGGGTCCACAACACAAATAAGCACCTGTCTCTATTGGTGACGTGTAACTGGCCTTGGACCTGATAAAAGTAGTTATGATTCTTATTTATACCTTCTTACACCACCCTCTTTAGTGACCGTCCAAAAGTTAAATTTATTTTTAATTATTGCTTCTTCCGGTGATAAGGTCTTGCAGGATTCGGGGCACTTCACTTCTACAATCGCATCTTCGCCTACAAGTCCATCTGGTGTTGCCCCCAGATAAGAGATTTCTTTATCAATGAAGAGCCCACACTTTGACACGGATAAACCATGGTGCTCTTCAAGCCATGAAATTGCATTAATTTCGTTCCCTCTTCCATATCGCATTGCTGGGCAATCAATGTCCGAATACAGCAATGTCTTTACTAAGCCCGCACAACTAGTTGTTTTCCTGCGTTTGTATACAGTTCCGAAATTAGATGCAGTCAGTAGTTTCCTCCTTTCTTCTTTGCACATTCCGCATTGCGATTGCATTACCGTAGCTTGTTGAAGATTTTCCCGCTCTTCCTCGGTTCTTTTAAGACCTTTGATGAAATCTTTTTTCTTTTTTTCCAGCAAGTCCGGTTTTTGAGCCAAAGGCCTGTAGCTTTTCATCGATTCTCTCTGCTCAATAACAGAATTTTTTTTCAACTTTCGTTTCTTCATTGATGTTTTTCTTTTGATCGCAGCTTTGCGTACTTTTTCCGCCCGTCTTTGCTGAAAAGATTTTAAAATCTTTCTTGGGCTATGTTTAAGCATCGATTTGTGGAGAGTGTACAACACTAGTCTGGAATTGTGAGAGACTACCGCTGCTGAGCACCTGGCTTCATACGATCTGCGATTCGAGAAGTTTACTCGTTTACCGCCAATTACCTTAGCAACAACGGAATTAAAATGCTCCGCAGGGTTATTGCTATCTTGTAATATCAGACTCCTTGCATTATCAGTTAAGTAGCTAATATGTTTCATTATCTGCGAATACATTCCGCATTTCTTCAAATCTGGAACATGGTTTTTCTCCGACTCCTTTGGGCCTTGGCAAAAATATTTCAGTTTCTTGCAGTGAAGATGCTCTCCAAAAACATGACTGGCAGAGTTCGTAATATCTTGCTGCAGCAACGAAATACTTTTAGTGCCACTTTCTTTTTGTCTGTGTTGTGCAGCTTTTGTCACTGCAGTTCTCAGTCTTAAAATGTTGTTGCTGAGCAGCTTACGCATTTCTAAGGGACCGGATTTTGTGTCTGAGGCAATGTCTCAAAGTTTGGTACAATAATTCCTAAGCAGGTGATTAGTACATTCTACTTTGTCAACTGTCCAGTTAATTACATTTTAGTTAATTAGGTCTGGAATCTAAAAATTGGCTGTAAACATTCGAGTCTCTGTCAGCGAGAATTGTACCGTACACGACATTGTACATTTCAACGCTCCGTTTAAACCCTTCTACGATGTCTGCTTCCATGCCAGCCGAGCTTCCACCCCAGTTCTTGTAACACTTGTGTTCTGTAACTGGCATAAACTTGGCTTCTGCTCAAGCACAGGTGGTGCAATATTTGTTCCTCACCCCCAAGAACAAAACTTTTTTAGTGTGTGCTCCCACAATGGCAGCCTGTAAAAAAAATAATTATTAGTAAATAATTTACCTATGGAGCTTGATGTCGTAGTTTTAAAGGTTGCTAAGTATGCCAAACAAATTTAAGGAATAAATGTGTTTATCAAACTTAGGAATTATTTTATTAGAATACATCTTGTTTGTATTAAAGAAGAGGACATTATACGAAGTATAATAATAAGTTTAACAAGCTAATTCACTGAATGCTATGTTTTTTCACATAACTATACATATATCTATGACGAACAGTGAAAATAATACTAAATCAACACAATATGATGTTGGATATAGAAACAACTCTTGTAGTAAACAACAGGATACCAACACCTCACTCACGTAATGCACGAGTCCTCTAGTCTGGTGTGTGGACAGTGACAGTAGGCGAATAGCGACCACGTGTCGGTGACTCACCTGTCGGAGCCAAGTTTTGTAAAAGGCTAGTAGCGCAGTAACCTTCCTTACGCCGACCTGCGTTTGGGAGAAAACATGTTTATTTCGTCCCCCGTTTCGGGCGCTGTTTTCCAACAGATTTTCTTGAAACTTGGCGACAATTTAGTTGAATAGTTATACTACGGCTCTTATACCTCAAAAAATTGAAAATTAAACAAAAAAATAGTTTTATTGAATTTTAAAAGTAACTGAATTTACGTTACTTTTAACATTTTTTTGTTCTTATACTATTGATTTTCTTGGATATATCGTGTATGAGGGACCTAGAACCAACATTAATCTGTAAGGAAAAAAAGTTTTAGCAATATATCTTTACGAATTCCATCAGGAGCGAGGGACGCCCAAGGCATTTTTTTAATGTTCGCAGGGGTGAAGAAGACTCTTAACTAGACTACTTTTATTTTTATTGCAATGCTAAATAATTTTGGCAATTTTCTACAGTTTCTTTATTTACAAAAGCTTTTCACTGTGAGGTTAATTTTTGTAAAAGATTGTTACAGGCATACAGCCAGTAAAACCCATATTAAATATTTCTAATGGTAATTGTTTGATCCTGAGAAAAGTTTAAGCAATTTCGAAGGTTTGCAAAATGGACCTAGATTTGCCTTGATATATGCATTATGTTCTAAGTGTTTGTTTGGTAGTACTATTGGTTGTTTTGGAGTTTAGTAGTCGTCTCTTGGAAATTAAAACATTAGCAAAACCCTACATATTGTACATAAAACCAAAAGAACCACTGTAAACAATTTTAATTTAAGACAAATTAAACAAAAAACAAGCAATTATAATTATCTTTAAAAACTTAAGTCTAATATAATGATGATAAGTAACCCCACTTTAATAACTATTCATACACCTAGAATGTTACGAGCATTCTTACATGAGGACGAGTACTGCAGTTTCAAAATCCTGACTGCACAGTGCACAGCAAAAAAACGTGAAATGACAGAAGCTATAAAGCACCTAACCAGGGTTGGTACTAAATTTGAAAAATAAAATTTCCTGACTTTTTTAGGTTTTCCAGACTGATATTATACTTTTTCCAGGTTATCATATAACTGTATGTAAGTCAATATCGACTAATCAAAATCAAGAAATATTAGAAAAAATGTAATAATTAACTTATTTTATTACTCCCAAATACAAAACTTGATTGAAACTATATATACATATAGATTCCTCCCCCGTACGGATAACTAACTAACTATTGATATAAAAATGTGCATCAGTGCTTATATCGTTTTTTTTTGTCATATTCTACACCCTGACAAAAACATGTTTAGAGCAAAATGTAGCACATCTGTAAAAAGGTAGTCTTTCAGGAGAAATTCCAGAACTTTTTCATAATTCCCTGACTTTTCCAAACCAACAAATTTCCCTAGCTTTTCCAGCATTTCCCTGACCGTACCAACCCTGCTAACGATCTTGGCAAGTACTACTACACATTTTTATCATCTTGTAAGCAAATATTCTACTCAACACAAACAGGAAAATGAAAGAAGACTCTCTACTTTGTTTTGATTGTTTACTTCAACAAGCACCAACAATAAATAAATCAAAGTACCTCAGTCTCCTTATATCTAATTTTGTACAAAACCTAAATAATAAACTCAGTACAAAAGTACTAACTCGGGTGGGTATAAAGTCCTCTCACCTCTGGAACTCAAACCACAGGGAATAATAAGAAGTCACAGGAAAAAAGTATTCTAAAATACCAGAGGTAATACTGAATTTTTATATCAGTAAAATACTAAAATTATTCTTCCTAAAACAGTCCTTAAGTTGTACAAACTAAATAAAAACTATTTTTACAATAAACATTTTTGATTTACAGTACGTTATTAGAGTATAATGATAACAATATAACTTATAAAAAAAATCTCTATATGATTACGATTATGAAATAAACTTACTTGAGTATCAAATAATCATTATTTTGATTGATAAATAGATGGATTAGATGATCAAACAATCATAATTATACAGTTTCCAACATAAAGATTGATTCAGATGTCTCTTCATTCTTTATAAACACACTAATTTTGTAATTTTGTGCCTCTGGACTCTAATTTTCTCAAGTGAGCTAGCTAAACTCAATTCCTTTTCCAAAAATTCCTTATGAGCTATAACAAACAGTTTAAAACCACGTAATTTAACAGTGACGTCACAGAACATATTTTTTTCTAAAATCATAAAGTTTTTTACCAGTATTACCTCTAGTGCAATCCTCTCTTACAGTAAGTTATGCGAAAGAGAGGACCTGGTCCCGGTAGGCAAAGTTAGTGCAGAGATCAATGTTTGGACTGGAGCCAGCTATACACATCACGTGGTGGGGCGAGTCTTGGATGCAAACTGAGAACACGGTCGTCGACGATACTTGAATCTGGGACGAAACATCTCCTGAACATACAATTAGTTGTGAGAAGTCACAATTTATGATAAAACATATTACTCTGTTCACAATATTTAGGTGGTCAGGGGACAAAATCTATCCCCTCCACTTGACCCTTACTTTTAAAATAATAGCGCGACAGCTGATTTTTAGCGAATTTCCCTATAGGGAAGTAGCTATTACCGTAGGTGACACGGTAAGACCTAGACCCGGGACCGATTTACTTTTTCATTTTGATGTCCCCAGAGGCCAAAAACACCATTCGTTCAAATTTATATATATACTAGCTGTACCCGCGGGCTTTGCCCCGCTTAACTTCATAAGTATTCGCATGGCTCAATCACGTCCTGGTTGAAGTTCGTTCGCTACGCTCACTCATCTTCAGGTTGGAAATCGTTCGCTGCGCTCACTTGTTTTCAGGTTAGCTCGTTCGCTACGCTTACTCGCCTCCAGGTTGATGTTCGTTCGCTACGCTCACTCACCTTTTGGTTGCAAATTAGCTGTTGTCTTAAATTTAAAAAAAAGTCATCCCTTTTATTGTTTACAATACTTTGATAAAGGTTTTTATGTTTTAATATTTAACGTTGGAGAATTTAAACGTTGTTGAGTGCACAGGTGTGCTGCGATTGGGGTTTAATACATTTGGACTTATTAAAAAGTAAAATAGTTTTCTGTGCTGCACTCTGTAGAAACACTGTGGCACTATTTCAAATCATGACTAATGCTAATACAGAATGTTGTGATTATTCAAACCTACAAAACAGTTGGTGAAAGTAAACATCTGCTTTTAAATTATATTTATTTGTAAACATTGTAGATCAAAAAGTCTGACATTGGCCCACTTAAAACCCTCTAGGGCAGAGCCCTTTTGACGGATCTGCACCAAACTTCACTCGAACCATCCTTGTAAGATGCTTAACAATGCCTGAAAGTTTCATTACAATCTGTCTAGCGGTTTCGGAGTCCATAACGTATATACACACACACACACATACATACATACATAGTTCCTCTTTTATAGATATAGATATATATATATACGTCCGTGAACTTGAGTAATTTTTGTCCGAGTTTGATGAAATTTGGTTTAAAGGTGTAAAGCGGGATAAACTTGAATGAGTTCGCGAACCAGCATGATCGGACCATGGGAACGGGGTTTTACGGGGGGTTTTATGGGGTAAAAATTGGGTTTTCTCACTTTTGAGCCTCAAAACACAAAATTTCCCAATTTCTCTTTAGACCTTTTTAAAGAGCTTAAAAAATCAAATAATTTAGTATATAAATAATAATAGTATATATTAGTATAATAATAGTAATAATAGTATATATTAGTATAATAATAGTATATATTAGTAAACAGTATATATTAGTAACGGAGAAAATTTAAAAAATTGTAAATTTAAAATTCCCATGTTATTCTTATGGAGAATATTGTCAAATGTTGTAGTTTGCTTAATTATGGATATATTTTGATCAAACTTGGCAAATTTATTTATTTTGTACTAAGCTATCAATATTTTACTCAAAAACACACTTTATTAGTTTCCTTGTAGCAGCAAACCTAGGTACTCGTTAAACCGAATGTTATTAAAATATATTTAACTGAAAATCAATTCAGACAAATGGAAATTCGCTTAGTCGGCAGGTTTGCTGCGGCGGGGGTATTTTGTCCTAGGACTCAAGGCATGAGCCCGAGATTGTTTTTCACATTACTTCACGCCAGACCTAGGGGTTGCGACATTATTACTTAAATAAAATCCATTGGTGATTTGGTGGGATTTGAACCCAGGATCTCAGCGACCAAAGTCCCACGCTCTAACCACTAGACCAGCTCGCTCCACAGTTGCGTACGCACACACTAGGTTTAATATACTTGTGAGCAGCAAGGAAGAGAATAAGCAGCGAGCACTGTGCGGAAGTTCCTATCTCACACGGCAAAGCGTCAGCATGTAGTATGTGATGGCAAGGGGGGTTAGGAGTAGCAACTAGTGCTAGCATAGATTAAACATACTCTTCAAGTAGATTCCTCGCCAGCGTGTTACAAGGTGAGGACGGCTAAAACAGGCGAATTTCAGTGCGCTCTGTCCGGGATTTCTAGAGAGAATAGCCCAAGCCAAAACCCAACACATGGCCAGCGCCGTTGTTGCCGTACAGCGTATCTGCCAGCATCAGCAAAGCACTAGCAGCTAACCCCTTACATTTTACAATCATACGCGAATATAGTCTTACTGTTATTTTATACAAAGTACAAACAAAGCGCATAGTCATGGAGGTGTATAGTGTACTATAAATAAACGATAATTCATTCATTAGTCATTACCAACGAATCATTTTAATCCTCATGGACACTCAAAAATCCGTCTTCGAGAGTAGTGTACGACTGTTACTGGCAAAAAAACTCAGCAAAATCCTGTTGAAAATAAATTAAGTAATGTCTCTGATTTGAGAATTTTTGAAACTCTTTATGAACTGGAAATAGAATTAATTATTATTTGTATTGGAAAGTAATTGTGAAACATTAGGAAAGTATTTATAAACTATGTAAATTTTAGGATCAAAAGGATATCATTAGGAAATGTAATTTAATTAACTCATCAATGTATTTAATTTGACGTTTTGTATTTAATCACTTGACTCTAATATTTACATAATAACATTGTCATACTATGTTTTAATTCCGTTAATCATCAAACTCATACAGCATTTTAGCATTTTAGGTTACTTAATCTGCTTACACCCCAAACAACCTAATCACAGTAATATTTATATCATGCATCCTAACATAACATAACCATACATAACATAAATTAAAAGTCCGTGAATCCATCATTGTTATAAGGAGTACCAACCCTCCACGATTATGTAATGGCACATGATTAACACGTTCGCTACTGAGCGTCGCATATATGCGACGCCGCGGTCATTGCCACAGACCGAGGTATACATTTGAATCTTACACATAGACCGGCTGTCACTTGGATAACAGTACACACAGACCACGGGCGAAAACCTGTAAAACAGTGATCATTTACATTGTAATACGCCACAATCGTGTTAGTAAATAAATCATTCTAGTTTTTTGTATTTTTTATAACCTTTAGTAATGTCGCATATTTGCGACGCCCGGTCTACAGGGAAGACAATAGTGAAAATTATCATAGTTTTCTTGAAATAGACTAAACGTCGCATATATGCGACAGTTCATTTTTTTGTGTTTTAAGGTGAAAGTAAGTAAAAAAATAAACAGATTATTCAAGAACAGTTTATAACTGAACAAATATAAAAGCTACATAGGATAATGCAGCATACATACTGCATATATACATACAGTGATGCTGAAAAGTAAAGATCAGTTTTTCCAACTATTATATGACGTCACCAATCATCATATCCACAGACCAAGCGACGCAGTTATGCATCAGACATCTCTGTAGACCACTGCAGGGAATTCAGTGTCTTCAAATAGACCACTACAAAGATATAAGCATTTTAATAACATTAGAACCCCGTCGCAAATATGCGTCGGCAGTCTATTTTAATGTGACTAGCCGTCGCATATATGCGACGGCAGTCTATGGATGGAAACCGGCCGTCGCATATGTGCGTCGCTGGTCCATGTGAATGGAAAATTTCGTACTATTGCAGTAGCGAACGTGTTAAGAGTGAAGAAAGTGACCAATTTGCTAGAAGCAACAATTTTTAATGAAAATTTAAGGGAGAAGAATTTCTATTGCCACATATTCCAACGATCTCTACTAATATGCCCTCTGAATTCAAACGTTCACAGTTTCCTGCGCGTCTCGCTTCTACGATACTGTAAGTAGGCAATAAAATAATCTCAAGAGCAACCACTGCAAGTGTATGAATTATACTTAAGATATCCACGTTTGTGTGTTTATTTTCGGGACAAAAACTTCATTCCTTTTAACTTCATTCCTTCATTCAATCCACACCGGTTCTGTTCAAGTCGTGTGTTTGATGACGTTCTACTGTTTACTGTTTCATTAATCTAAACGTTTTCTAAATGCCTATCACTTTGAATTGATATTGACTGATTCATTGGCATTTATTTGTTTGTGAGTTTCATAACCTTTTCCCACTTTCCGCCATATTTACCGCCGGGCTGACGCAGATCCTTGGACATAGCCTGCAGACTTCTTTTAATTTTTGCTATCAGGACCTTGTTCAGGATGAAATATTGGTGTTTGTAACAGTCAGTGTTACATTTCACCCATTCTGGATGCATTCGAAAAATCCGTCACTTTGCTTTTAACACCACTGTATTTTTGAACATAGAAGCATTGATGCTTTTCTTCAAAACAGCGTCAAAAACTGACAGAAGTGCATCCACTACCTCTACTTTTTCATCCTGTGGATAAATGAGACTGGATGTGTCGTCGCTGTATTCCCTGTTCCGGATCACGGTCTCTTGAACTCCGCCAGTGTCAGAAGTCGATGGTGACTTCATCAAGTCCCTTCTGCAGTCCTCGCAATTAAACTGCCTCAAGCAGGTTCGGACACCGTAGCCGGCGAAGTACCTACAATAAGAAATAAAAATTGTTATAGTTTACCAGAGCTCGCCCCGTGGTCAAAAACATTACCAAAAGTTTTTAATATGCAACTTTCTTTTCACCACACACTGTAAATAAAACACATGTTTGGAATTTCTGTCATTTTTGTTTTTTTTGTTGTTTATATTTTGTTGCTATTTCGTAACCAACATGGCGACCCATAGGGCCCATGTTTTTTTTTCAAATTTCAAACTAGGCTTCAAATTTTAATTAAACTTAACTTTTAATTAACTTCAAGTTTTAATAAAATTAGGCTATGTTTTATAATTTTGTAATCCTACTAATATTATAAATGAGAAAGTTTGGATGTATGTAAATACTGGTCGGATTGGGCTGAAATTTGGTATGATGATAGCTCACATTCCCGATTAACATATAGACGCATTCTTATCTCAAAAGTCCTATCGGGCTCTGCCCCAGTGGCGCTGGAGTTTCCC